AAGTTTTAGCTGCCTCAAGACGCGCGGCTCCAACGCCCCTCACTTCGGCTTAGGAGTCCCGGGAGGCGCCACATGTCGTCACCAACACCCTAGAGGCTCGCAACCGAAAGAGCGCGGCCCAGCCGCGGGGTAGCGGCGCCAGCGGCCGCTGCAGCGCCCTCCACGACGCCGAACCCCACGAAGCTCTCGGCCAGCCAATTACAAAGGAGCCCGGCCGGAAGGACGGGGCTCAGCGAGAGGAAGTGGGGGTGTGGGCGTGTCCCGGGCTGGCGGGAGGTGAACTGCGGCAAGGACCGGGCGCGTGGCCTGCGGCCCGCACAAGAATGGGCGGGGCTCGCGGAGGCACCGCAGGTGGCCAAGCCGAACCGCTTGAGAAGCGGGGCTAGAGCGGCCTTGCAGGCACCGTGGAGACGCGAAAGGGGGACAGCCTTCCGCAGGCCCCGGTGCTGGAGGAGGCGGGAGTAACGGGACCCACTGTGCGAAGAGCCTTAGGATCCCGCAAAGGAAGCCGCAGCCCGCGCTTCCGGCGCAAGGCCCTGTGCTAGGGGAGGGGCCGGGCCGACTGGTAGGCCGCGAAGAGCTGCACGGGCGGGGTTCTTGCCGGGGTTCCAGCCCTGGCTCGGCTTTTGTTGCACTGTGTAGCCTCGGGCCAGCCCCCTCCACGGTCTGGGCCTCAGTCTGCTCGGGAGAAGGTCAGATAGAGTGATCTCGACTGGTCCTAACTGGTGTGACAGGAACAACTTGAGTTTCTGCTTTTCAAATAAAGGGGAGAAACCCTTTCCCCCACCTCACCTCCTGTACAAACACCTGCCTGTTCATTTGAGCCCTCATCTTGAGACCCAGCGAATGCCATGGATGTGTTCTTCTGCTGGGAATAGAATTATTCCTCTCATCGCACTTGAATCCATAAAATAAAGGAGCTCAAATTCAAAGATAAGGTTTTAGATTTCCTACTCCCTCCCCCCAGGTACCTGACTCCTGGGTAAGTGGAAGTCTCCCCCCGGGGTAAAAGAATGCTGGGGGGTACCTACTTTTAGACACAGGCAATTAATACAACCAGACAGATGTATTAATTTGTTCAATTTTTGAACCATATGTCAGCCACCACCCTAGACTCTGTGAAGGCAGAGTAAAGAGCATTTGTGGCCTCCAGTAGCACGTGGTCCAGTGTTTTTAAGAGTGGCCTCTGGAATTCCACAAATGATTTGAATCCCAGCTTTCTTACCTCCTAGCTTTGTGTTCTTGAGCAGTTTACTTAACCACTTTAAGCGTCAGTTTCTTCATCTATAAAATAGGAAAAATAATATCTCATGGAATTACGTGAGGCTTAAATAAAATAGTACATTAAAAATGTTTAGCATAGTTCCTGGCACATAGTAAGAGCCTAGTAAGTGTAAGTTGCTATTAATTGTAGGAGGGGAGGGGAGTAGGCAAAAGAAATAGATATGTTCCAATAGAAGCATGAGCCCTGGGTTATGGGCGACCATGGAAAGACTCAGAAAAGTAGTTGCATCTGAGCTAGACCTTTAAATATGAGTAAGAGTTTGCCAGGTGGAGAAAGCAGAACAGCATTGCAAGCAGAAGAAACTGAATAAATACAGACCCAGAAGTGTGACTGTTAGGGAACTATTCAGGAAACATCCTTGCTTTGGGACTTGGGGGCAACTACTTTTCACATACCTTGTGTTGCTGCTGCAAAATAAAATCAGCATACTGTTCCTCCCGGGACTTCTGCACTCTTTTTCCACTCAGCCTGTCTGTAGTTCATTTCATTCCTCGAGGTCCAGCCACATCCAGTGCTTCAGTGACAACTCCTCAACTCCTGGAGCCCTCACTGCTCTCCCCTTTTCCCAAGTTCTGTAGCACTTAATTTCTTACCACACTATTTAGCAGTAATTATATGTTGTCCTGTTATTTAATTACCTCATTTGTGTAAGTCTAGTCTCTCCAGTTCTCTCCCTCGGGGCAGGCATGGCATTTTCCCATTTTGCATCCCACATTGGGCTTGACATAAACTGTCCACAGAAGATGTTCAAACATTGCCTGTTGATTTAACTGGACGCCTTGTGCTGCTATGATTATAGATACAGAGCACCGGGCCTCAATCATGGGATTTATTGATTCTAGCGGAGAGGTATTTCATTCCACATACAAACATTGAGGCCCCTTCGTGTTTGAAGCTAGTTGAAAATTTTTGAAGAAGATAAGGTGTCTGTTCCCACATATAAAATAGCCTGATGATGCCTCTTGTCCCTAGAAGCCCGAGAACACTACTGACAGTCCCATGTGGGAGGGTAGATGGCGAGGGCAGCTGGCGTCCTCACTGCGCACCAGGTCACCTAGTGAGCGCAGCCCAGGGGAGCACCAAGGACAGCAACGTTGCTCCCGTGCCTTTAGTTTTGCCTGAACTTCCAGGCCCAAGCCACTGACCATTCCCTTCTCCTACAGATTGCTCTGTGTTGTTGGCTTGTGACCCAAAGTCAATTTGACTCAATCCCTCTACAAAGGTAAGTGAACCTACCACCCAGATGTCCACGTAACCAGCGTTTGTTGATACCATTGTGTACCCACCACAGTGCTGGTTCTAGACGTTTGTTTTTGCCTTTGTTTTGGTAGGCATTCTTAATTTGCATGAATCCAATATATGAGAGTTTATTCTGTGCTGGAGAGTGTCCTGAGTATATAACAATATTTTAAAAATGAGCGTGGTCCCTGCCTTCACAGAAAATAGTCTAGCGGGGCAAACGAACTCAGTAGACAATTAAAATAGAGAACAGTGTTTTAGTTATTGCAGCGTAACAAACTCTCCAAAATTTAGTAGCTTTAAACAGTCATTATCTCTCACAGTTCTGTGAATTGACTGGACTCAGCTGGGCAATTCTGCTAGTCTCACTTGGGGTCTCTCATGAGACTGCTATCAGATGGCAGCTGAGGCTGGAGTCATGAAGCCTCCACTGGGACATTGGGAGGGCTGAGCCACTTTGCCATGCTCCACACGGCCCCTCCAGCTGGGTAGCTGAACTTCCTAAACAGTGGCCCAGAACTTCTAAAACTACGAAAGTGGAAGCTGCTGGGCTTCTTAAGGCTTAGGCCCGGAACCCACAGTTTCACTTTGGATTCTGGGTTAGAGCAGTTCACAGGATCAGCCCACAGCACTGTGGGAGGGGGAGACACAAGGGCTTGAATAGTGGTTAAGAGCTCTTTGGAGATTAGCAAGTGCTTTAGTGGGAAAAGTATAGGGTGTTATGGAAACACCTAAGAGAGGCTCATAACCTAGGTATGTAAGTCCTTGGGAGACTTCCTGGAGGCAGCGGCATCTAAACTGATGAACCTGAATAATGAGGACTTGAAACTTGCCAGATGAGGAAGGGGAAGAGAAAACACAACTCTGGCAGGGGAGACAGCTGGTGCAAGTTCCCAGGGAGGTAAATAGCTCACAATTTTAGATCAATGTGGTTGTCCAAGGGGTGGTAGTGGTATAGGATAGTGACAGCCCTTTAGTCCAGAGAGGTAAATGGGCCTAGGTCATAAAGTCTTGTAAGCCCTTCAAGATGCCTGAACTCTGTCCTGAGGGTATAGGACATCAAGAAGTGAAGCAGGGTGGTGATCAGGCTGGAGAGACCCTAAAAAGGATATTGGCTGCTGAGTGGGTGATGGATTGAAGGGATCAAGCTCTTATTTTCACCATGTCCCTTCTAGCCAGTGACCTCACCATCACTGAGAAGGCTGTCATCACCTCAGCACTGCTATCAGTTGTTTTTGCTTTTTATTAGTAGGACTTTTTATCATAAAAAAAATGCAACCTCACCCAGCCCGAGTGACTCAGTTGTTTGAGCGTAGTCCCATGCACCAAAAGGTTGGCAGTTCGATTCCTGGTCAGGGCACATATCTGGATTGCGGGTTAGATCCCCAGTCGGGGAGCATATGGAAGGCAACTAATAAGTGTTTCTCACATCAATGTTTCTCTCTCTCGCTCTCCTTTCCTCTCTAAGCATGTCCTTGGGTGAGGATTTTTAAAAATGCAAACTCCTTTGTACAAGTTTTTTTTTAATCCTAACCCGAGGATATTTTTCCATTGATTTTTAGAGAGAGTTAAGGGGGGGAGGGACAACAATGTGAGAGAAACACATCAATTGGTTGCCTCCTGCACGCACCCTGACCGGGTCAAGGATTGAGCCTGCAACTGAGGTACATGCCCTTGACCAGGAATCGAACCCGTGACCCTTTGGTCCAAGGGCCGATGCTTTAACCACTGAGCAAAACCGGCCAGGGCAAGTTTTTTGTTTTTTGTTTTTTAACTTTAAAATGAACATGCCATAGAAAGCCTGCTACCCAGTAGGATCTGCACATGTGGTTGGGCAAGTGGTCAAACAATTCATACCTAAGTGTGAAGTGACTTGAGAGCAGGGAGCATGCCAGGCTCAGTGGCTTTTACCCCTCAGTTAAGTAATGGTTGGTTAAGAGAGCACCTACTCTAATAAAAAGTCAAATCAAATAGTACTCCAAGGCTTATAACAAAACAGAGCACACCCCTGCCACGTGCAGCTTCTACTCCCTAGTGCCACTCCCCAGGGGCAACCATTTTCAACTCTTTGAAGTCTCAGGAAGCAGCACAGAGGAGCACAGGTTCTAGAATTGGCTTGTCTGGCATCCAGCAAAGCCCTCCCACTTACCAGCTGGGTAACCTCAGTCAAGTGAATTGCATCTCTTACCTCGGTTTCATCATCTGGAAGATGGGAATGAGAATGGTACCCTTCTCATGAGATAACACATAAACTGCCTGGTACGTGGTCACTACATGACGATAACGAAGAAGGATCTAACTTGAGAGCAGCTGCGAGGACAGCTGTGGACTTCTAGTTCCACGCTATACAAATAAATATAAGGCACTGAGTATGAGTAGAGGCCATGACAAGGACAGAGACTCATTTGCAGAGGTCTCGCTCTTCCCTTTGTTCTGAGGCCAAAGTCTGTGTGCTCTCAGTCCCATTCCCTTCCTGTCTCTTCCAGAATCTTGCCTGTTTGTCCTGTCTAATGATCCTGACCCTCATGCCAAAGCACACACGTCTCTACTAGTTTTTTCTTTCTGTAAAATATACACAGGCCTTTCCTATCTTGGCGGGGG